TCAGTAGTTGGAGGAGGTTTGAATAGAACAGCTTCCTTCTGCATATCAAAACTTCTAGTTTCAGGAGTTGGTTTTAACTTGTTTACTGCATTTTCTATTCTTGTAGTGTGCTTGCCTATTGTTTGGAAGAAAATATTTGTATAATTATTTTGTTCAATAATATGAGGTATTCCTTCAAGCTTGGCCATATTATGGTTGTTTTCTTTAGGTCTGATTTTGAAAGGTGAGGCTTTAATTTCAATTTTCTCGCCGAACTTTTCACCTTTAAGTTGCAAGCTAGTCTCAAGGGGATGAATGTATTCAATTGTTTCTCCTTTGGTGGTTTGAAAGGTCTGAAATGATTTTTAAACCATATTTACTTCAAATTTTGGGATTTTTATTCCATAATCTTTTGCTATATATTTTAACCATTTAAAAAATTTGACGGTTGCCTTGTGCTTTATCATGAAACGATTGAATTTTAGATGGAAGGCATCGTTAAGGGCTTCTTTAAATTCTTTGAAGCACCATTATCTTATTAATCTATTTTCTTCAGAGTAGAAATCTTTTCTAATCCATTCCTTATCAATCTTGAATTCTTCTTGTTGAATAACACATACTTCAAAATCAAGATCTGAGGGCGTTGGTCCTTGTTCTTCCATTTCAGAAGATCCTGGAGTGTCTACTCTATAGACTGGTTGTTGAACCTGATTTGGGGTCCTATTAAGTCTTTCTATAATAGTTCTCCTTTGAGTGGATATTCTTTCATATTCAGATTGTGGTACGGAAGAGGACGAGCTTCTAGGAGATCCCTGATGCTTGATTCACCAATTCTTAATGTAGTTCTTCTGGAGGATGGAATGCTCATCTCTATTTCTGCATCGTAGTATTCTATGATTTGTTCAAGGTCTCTATTTTCAAGAGTTTTAATCTGGGATTCAGATTGTAAAGACCATCGCTCTGGTAATTTTACATGGGACCATGCCACAGACTTGGGTATAACTAAATTTAATTTTTCCATGTTTGTCTGGAAAAATATAGCTTGTCCTTTTAGATACATTTGCCTAGCATTTGGACACAAAGTATTCATTACTTTGTAGCATATTCTATAAACAAATGTCAAGTTCTGAGAACCTGGGTCCATATCAAAACCTTGAGTTTTAAGGTTTAGGGTAAGGACCTTTAAAAGATTAGGATCCGTTAAGGCCACCGAGAAGTTTTAGAAAACAGTTGAAATAAATGGGGCCATTGCAGAGACTGGATTCAACTATTCCTAACAAGGAATCCGTGAATCTTTTATGTCTGTTGTCTCTTAAACAGAGCAGAACAAAATTATTTAATCTTGTCCTTATTAATGGTTTGATAGCTATTTGTACTAAACCAATATTTGTAATCTTTCCTTTTATGATCTTCAATCACTCTTGGGGAAAGTAATTGGAATTTGTCTTGAGTTTCCATAACAGAAATACTTTGTTCAATAATTTTGATGGAAAAACTACTTTTGAAATCAAACGTTCATTTACTATAAACATCAGTTATAGGTACCTTAGGTATATTCCAATTTTGGATCTGCTTTTCTATATTATCTATTATTACTTCTTCTCTATTATTAACACGTAGTGTATTACTAGTGGTAGCTGACCTATAAGACAATGTTTTGATGAAATTTGCTATTGTAGTTCAAGTCAACTGGAAACAGTCCCTACACTTTTCTGGCTCTTCCTGGCCTTAGCGATCTTTGGGTCACAATGACTTTGAACTACTACTGCAGATTTTCATAATCTTATTTAATAGTTCAGTTTTCTACTAGAGATACAGTTAGACCACCATATCCCAGATTTTCAAAATCTTATGTAACATATATATATATATATATATATATATATATATATATATATATCTATTATCATCATCATCATCATCATCACGTATTCTACTTTCTCTCAGATTATCATATATATATCATTATCATCATCATCATCATCATCACGTATTCTACTTTCTCTCAGATTATCACTTATTGCTGCCACGTTTAAATTCTTCTGAATGTATTCATTTCGAATTATATCCCTTCTTGTCTTGACACTCGTCCATCTCAACATTCGCATATCGGCTATACACATTCTCTGAGTATGTTGTTTCTTGACCGTCTAATATTCCGCCCTATAAAGTAATGTTGTCTCACAACAGTCTTGTAGAACTTGCCTTTCAACTTCATTGGTATGTAGCAATTTTATAATACTCTAGTTGCACATCTCCACTTTGCCCACTAGCTCTAATTATATGTGCGATATCTTCCTCAATATCTCTATTTTCTTAGATTATAGACCCAAAATATCAAAATTGTGCTCTTTTTGGTATTTCTTAGTTGTCGATCTTAATTGCTTCATCATCTCTACTCCTATTATTACTAAACCAGCATTCAATATAATTTGTCTTAGTCCGGCTAATTTTAAAACATTTAGATACTAGAGCACCCCTCCAAAGTTCTAACTTTGTGTTGACATCATTTTGGGTCTCATCGATCACAACTATACATCCACAAATAACATGCACCACAGTACCTCATCTGATAGATGCCTAGTTCAGTAATCTATAACTAAGACAAAGAGGTATAGGCTCAATGCTGACCCCTGTTGTAGACCTATTGTCACGAAAAACTCACTCGACTTTCCACTAATTGTTCGCATACTTGTTAGTGCTCCTTCGTATATCTCTCTCCAAGACAATGTAGAATTTATATAAAGGTAAGGCCTTAAATAATCAAATTAAGGCGCACCTCAAAAATTCACCAGAAGAGCTTGTTTCCATGCCCAAAGATCCTCAAATTGATGATCTCAAACTCAAAAATGTATGAAGATGAGAAAAAATAGATTTTGAGTATTGGAAATATTGCATTTTATAATGCATTTTTTGGACTGTCAATTTGTAAGATTATCAAGTATTTATTTTAAATAGATGAGAAGATAAATTTTCAAGCCATCATAAAGATTTCTAATACTGAAATAACATCTTTCGATATCATTTCAATATGCGCCCTACTTTGATTGTTTAGGGCACACCCTTATATAAACCACACCCATAATATGTATACGCACACACACTAATGCCTCATCAGGATTGTACATGGCCTTTAAACCTTCTTTAAGCTTCCATTGAGCCTTTACATTATAAGATATTTTGAAAATTAAATTAGTTTGATTCAATTAAGACAATTTTTTTTTTTTTGTACTATAGCCCCACTTCTTGTTTCGTCAGAGTGATCAATGAATTATTGGCGCTAATGAAAAATTTAAAATTTATTTATGCCATAGACATTTAAATTCATGGCAATATTGGTCTTTATATAGCAAGTTTAAAGTTTGTTTATTGCATTTCTTTTTTAAGGTTGTTTTTTAAAATTTGTGTTTTTAGGGTTAGATTTAATGAGCAATCTATTGTTAATCAGATAAATTTATATGTTAGTTCTCTTATTCTATGATTTTTTGTTTACCTGTTTGTTTTTGCTTTGCATATGTACTTCGTATTTAATTGTTTTTTATTTTTTCTCTTGTTATGTTATAAATTTTTTTGTTTGTACATCTTTATTATCTACTATTTGTCTCAATTATTTGCATTTTTCTATTTGGCACATTTACTTGTAGGTTTTATTAATTGGGTTATCTATCAAAGTGTAAGCGGATTGATCTACATGAACGATGAGTGAATTTACTATATGGGAGGGGAAGGAGGTCTTGGGCCAAGTAAAGATACATATTAGGAATATAATGCGTTGTGACCCAAGGAATATGACCATTATAAATCAAGAAAAATTCACATACCATGGATTTGGTTGAAGGAAGTGATGATATGGATGTATCATGTATGTTTTTAGTGGCTCCTAATGTTCATATTTGTGTTGTATACCAACAAATGAATCCAATCACTGAAGAACAATGAGCAACACTGGTTGATGTCCATCTACAAGGAACAAGTAAATGACCACACATGTGGACGACCAAAAGGAAGGGCTAATTAGCCATTGCCCTGAAGCAAAGGGGAAGCAAAAAAGATCAGATATCAACATACACTATTTTTAGAGCTTGAAATCTTAAATTTTTACATAATCATGATGGTCAAAGCGGAGATGATTGTTTAAAGATTTTTTGGTACCAAAATTGTAATTTTCAATGAGTTTTGAGTTAAGGCTTTACTTATTCCCCTAAAAAAGAAAAGGACAATGATAGTCTTATTGCCAAAATTCAAATATCCAAAAGCAAAATTATAGAAAGAGATATTTTACTTTTGGTATAAAGAGGTCACAAACACTCTTACCAATAATATCAATATTTCAATTGGGATGGTTGCAAGAGTGTAATCGACAAGACTCAAAATTCAAAAAAAGTTCTTAAACTGTAATATACATCAAGCCATTTAATTTGACATCCAAGTATATGTGATATCCTTACAACAAAGACAAATAATCTCGTACCATGCAATCCCTAAGAAAAGTATAGCATGAGTAAGGAGTGAGAGCCCGTTGAATGGCAAACGTGTGCAACATAAATCATGTGCGGACTGTGTATAAAAAATTAATATATTTTTTATTTCTTCATATTTATTATCACCTTGCCCTAGAAAATAAATCTATAAAAAGATAAGTAATGATCTTATGAGATCTTCCGACACCTATGTGTAGGACCACAAAAGATCACAATTAAATTTAGCACATATCTCTAAAAAAGTTATTATATAGTTTGAGATTTGACTTTTTTAAAGATCTGTGTCAAATTTAATGGTGATATTTGAGATCCTACACACATGGGTATGAGAGGATCTCACAATAGTGATTATGTGTGTAAGACCCCAAATGATCACTATTAAATTTAATACAGATCAACAAAAAAGTTATCCCATGAATTTGAAACTTGACTCCTTTAAAAAACATTAAAAAAGAAGATTACATGTCTACATGTGCAGGCTGACTCATAAAAACCTCATCCCAATCTCATCCGATAAAGGGTTATTCAGGTAGTTTTATCAATGGCCGGGGTATTATAGTCATTTCTCTCGGGAAACACTCACCTCTCCTTTGCCCCGTAGCCGCTATCCTCACTTTCATAGAGTCCATAGAAATGCGAAGATTCAGCACCACCAAATAGAAAGTTGCAGACAAAAAAAGTCTTTACTCAGAGAAACCAGCAATCATTCGCTCGCTCCATTCTCATCGATTGACACAATCTCCGCACTTTTCAAGAAAACCCTAATTTTCAGCTATTAAAGAGTCCCGATGCCATTTTTACAGCAGGAATCCAACCCTAAAACTTCTTTATAAACCCTAGCCTCCTCCTTTGAGAGACACGTTTTCTTCTTCTTAGATTCCTTGATTCTATTCCATTGACCTAGACATCCTCTCTAAATAGAGGGAAAGCCCCCTTCTTCTCAACCATAAAAGCCCTAGCTTGCTGCAACAATGGCCATCCCTCTTCCTCGCTGCCTTTACACAGAGAAAGGAGCATCAATGTCTTCTCCTCCTTGTCCTTCGTCTTCACCAGCAATTCCCCTCTCTCAAGAGGACCTCAAAAAAATCGCAGCTCACAAAGCTGTAGACTATGTAAAGAGTGGCATGGTCATAGGCTTGGGCACTGGCTCCACTGCTCAGCACGCAGTGGCTCGAATCGCTGAGCTTTTGAACCAGGGAGAGCTAACCAACATAATAGGAATACCCACTTCAAAGCAAACCCTAGATCAAGCGGTGGCGTTGGGTATTCCTCTCTCTGATCTCGACGACCATCCCACTGTTGATGTTGCAATAGATGGTGCAGATGAGGTCGATACAGAGCTGAACTTGATCAAGGGGAGAGGGGGCTCTCTTCTTAGAGAGAAGATGGTCGAGGCCTCTGCAAAAAAATTTATAGTGATTGTTGATGAATCCAAGTTAGTGAGAGGTTTGGGATCCAGTGGCCATGCTTTACCAGTCGAGGTTGTGCCTTTTTGTGCTAAGAACACGGCTCGAAAGCTGGAGAGGCTCTTTGATGGATGTAAAGCAGAAATCAGGGTTTGTAGACAGAGAAATGGCGAGCCATTTGTCACTGACAACGCGAATTACATTGTGAACTTGTTTTTCGAGAAAGGGATTGGGAATTTAGAGGCGGCGAGTGAGAGAATTTTGGGGGTTGAGGGAGTGATAGAGCACGGCATGTTTCTTGGCATGGCGACTACGGTGGTGGTGGCGGGGAAGAGTGGGGTTACATTTTTGGATAAGTAGAGACAGAGATTTTAGGTATGATAAACTTTTGGTTTGCTTATTTTTCTTTTCTCCCTATGTTATTGGAAATTTTAGCCCTTTCTCTCTCTCTCTACATTTTTGAGTAATTGGGGAATTAGCATGTACTGCTATGTAAGCTGGTTCAATGATTTTGATTGTAATTCAGCTCTGAATGAATGAATTTTGAATTGGGCCAATGCCCATTTGCTTTCTCTATGGGTGAATAATCCTCTGGCTATGTTCTGTTTGGCTTTGTCTCTTCTTTTTTGTTGTCTTTCATTTATACTGGATTGAGCATTCTGATGTGTGGTACTTCTAAATCATACATGGCTCTCTCTCTCTCTGCACGCGCGCTTGTGTTGTTTGTGTGTGTGTTTCTTGTTTCCTCTTCAAATGTTGTTGTTTTTTCTTTTAGATTGATTAAGATTTGCTCTGTTCCCTGATAAATAGTACTTCTGATAAGGCATCTCTCTCTCTCTCACACACACCAATACACATCCACACACACCCACCCACACCCACCTAGGGCAGTTGTGTGCCGAAGGATCTTCTTTCTTTTTCTGTTTTTCCTTTTAGGTGAATTTCCGTGACCATTTTTTTTTTTGTTATTTTTTGAATAATTTCTTTTTCTTTTGTTTGTAAGCATTTTTCTTTTTCTTATTGTTGAACACGGGATTGAGTATACATTTTGGTAGCTTACTAGCTCGGAATCCATGTTCCTTCACATCAGGCTTCCAATTTTATTTACTAACATGTTGCCTTTTGAGTTTGAACTGGCTATTATTTTCCTTGAACAATTGGGGCGTGAACCTGAGTTTTAACTTTATATCTCATTCGAGCCCAATTACTGTGATGCTTAGTTATATGTCATTCGAGCCCAATTACTGTGATGCTTAGTTATATGTCATTCGAGCCCAAATACTGTGATACTGGTTGTTTCAATTGTGAATCAATTACTGCTCATGTTTCTTCATTTATATGTTATATATAATTAAGACTAAGAATTTCAATCCGCATATGAACTGACTATTACTTTCCTTTTGTGCTTAAGCAGCGAGCATCTGCCTTTTGGGTGGGTATTGCAACTCAGTTTTCCTATTTAATCATTCTTAGGTGTTTACATTTATTCATGAAAGGTGCTATGTGGGGTTTCTTTTTCTGTCTTCTAATGGATTCTTCCTTTATGTTCTGATCGAATCTCCTTTTCTCATTTAATTAGCGAGTAAAGGTTTCCACTCTTTTCACACCGAAAAAGAGGCGAGGGTATTAATCATATGTAAAATTTTATGGTGCGTCTTCACCCAGATTTTTAATGGATTTGGGATCTTATCCTAATTACCTCTAAATGCATTTTCATCTTAGAATGATTTTCAGTTCCATAAATAGTACTGATCTAAGGGTCTGCTTAGAATTAAATTGAAAGGTCACAAAAAAAAAAGTTTAAATTTTTTTGTCAGATTCATGGTCATGTTCTTGGTCGTTGAAATTATTGTGCTGTGAAATTTTGGATGCAAAATCCATCTCTAAGATGAATTTTGGAATGCCGGCAGATTTGCCTATCCAGCAAAACCCTGCCTTTGTTTTATTGCAAATGGAAATTCATTTGTTGTTATTCTTACTTAGGAGGACGGTTTTATTTGAAAACGATGCCTGATTGTGTCTGTCATGTAATCAGTTTTTCCTCTTTAGTATGCCTTTTCTCATTTAATTAGTACTGAGGCTAGCATTTCTTATCCAAATCTGTGCACTTTTTAACATGCTAATATTGTTCTATGGTCGATGCTGGCTGTACTGATGGTTGGTATGGGTTTGTATTATGCTACTTTTAAAGGCTATAGATCTCCATTTCATATTTTGTCATTTTTGAATCCCAACCTTCAATCCAAAGTAAGATTATCTGTTTGCCCTTATGGAAGGTTTTATGGTTCTCTACTCCATTTTCTTCTGATAAAGTACTTGGAATTTTGAGTGAGATATGTAGATCAGAGAAAATGGGTAGTGGTGCTGACACTTGAAAGTGCATTTGTAAGCTCTGCTGGAGATTAAGAACTAAATATGGGGTCTTCACATTCCAGTTGAGTAGGAAACCGTGTTCCGAAGTTGGAAAACCTTCCAAATAATCATCTCAACATCTAGGTATAATGAAAAAAAGAAAAGAAAATAATTTGAAGTCTTATAAATAGTGTAAATTGTAACAAGTTATCTGAACTATTTATTTTGAAGATTTTCAAGTGTTTATAGATTTGCTTGATTTGCATTGTATTTAAAATTTTAAATTTCATAATTAGAGTTGATAATAGATATTTAAGCTATTGTAAAGTTTTTGACAGCTCATCTTCCAAAAAAATTTAGAGGTGCACTGTACAGTACAAACTGGGCACCTTAGACAAACCTCACCCATTATTATTTGTGGTTTTATTATTTTTGTAATCCACACTCCACAACCAACTCCACAACCAGCATGCACGCTTAAATTGATATGAAACATTTTTAAGCAATTACCATCATTAGAGCTTTTTTTAAACATTTCTAAGCAATAGAACTTATAATTTAAAGTAAAATAATTAAAACTTAATATTCCATATCTAAATTAGAGGGAAAAAAAAGAAGAAATCTTCTGGTGTGAGACTTTAAATTCATCTTACATGGGAATAAGTTTTATCCATTAAGATTCTACTGTATAAAGCTTGCATAATTCTATGAAAAGTATTTGTTGGGGGAAATTATTTTTAAAATAGAAAAGGTCAAAAAATTGTTAAATAATAAAATTGATAATTGAAAAAAATACTTAGAAAGTTAATTTCTTATTTTTTAAAAATCCAAAAAAAAAAAAGGATTAGTTTAATTGTCGGAATGCATGGAATCTTATGTTTGGGAAATGTTTCTATACTTCCCCTATAGCTTCTATGCTTCTCCTACCATCCAGTGGTCCAATTTTGAACAAGTGAGCCACTCATTGTTTGGTCCAATTTTGATCAAGTGAGCCACTCACCGTTTGATCTTGATCCGATGCTTCAAGATGTTTTATTTTTAATTTTTTTATACATTATATGAAGATAAAATTTGGTATATGCCATCTTCTCATTGGGGCGCACCTATAAAAAATATTTAAAATAATTTTTTGATAAAATATAATGATCAGAATATATCCTTTGAAAAATTAGAGGTATTTTGGTTATTTTATTTTATTGAGAATATTTTTTACAAGTGTGAGTTTAATAGAGGATTGGACGTCCAAAATTTGATATGAAAATAATTTATACAAAAATTAAAAAATAAAATAGTGTAGAGATGTGATATTGTGATTGGAGCAATCTTAGCTCTCCATTTAAAATTGATGGTTGAATAAGGAGAAAAATAAATTTTCAAGCCATCACAAAGTTTTTTAGTTTTGAATCTGCATCTTTCCGTATTATTTGAAGGTCCTCAGCCTTATACAAACCACACCGTTATTTTAAGTAGAAAATTGTGTTACGGTCCACAAGAATTCAATTTCTTTACTTTTTCGAGTATGTTTTGGAATTTGTAGTTTTTTTTCCCTACCTAATACATTAAGATGTTATACTATATTAGTTAGAAATTAATGTTTGGTGTATGTGCATTTAACATATACGGCGTGCTTGCGTCATTAAGTGGAGGCACAAGCAAGATGCATGCATTGCAAAGGAGCCGTCATACTGGGCAAGCAAGATGCATGCATTGTTTGAATGGCTTGGAGCCTTGCACAGTTTGTTATGGAATCAATGTTTGAAAATCAGAAGCAGCCGATTTGGATTGGGAGTCGGTCAAGCCGATCTGAAAAATCGATGTTTTAAAATTTGGTGATCTTCAATTTACGTGCTTATCCAAATATAGAACCAGACGTAGATTCCTAAATATATGATAATCTTGAAAATGGATGGTCTAGATAATATAGTGCAATATGCATTATTTCTATGATTCAAAATCTTTTTGTTTTTCATATTCATACATATCGATGTCAGGATGATCAATTAGAGGATTTTTCAACATCAGAACAACTTTTTTTGACTTTATATAAACTTTTTCCTTTATCTAATGTTATTTATAACCCTTCCTAAACCCCTGTCTCTCCCTTTTAAACCCCTGATTTAACTTTTATTTTATTTTATTCTTTTTGGATTATTAATCTAGATTTCAAGAATGGTTTACATTGCGTATCCATTGGTTCGATCAGTTCTGTCATAGAACTGGCTAGAACCAATCCCGTTTATTTTTTAATTTCTAGTTCGTTAGACATGATCACCAATTCATCGAATTGGATTGAAACTCCAGTTGGACGATCCTAGTCATCGATTTGTTTTCCCAAACCTTGAGCCCAATATAAATATACAACATTTCTAGAGTTTCTTTCGCTGTTAGAAAGGAACACTTGGCCTTTACCACTTAGAGGGCTTTTAGCTTACGAAGAGGATAGCACCCCATATGCCATCTATTACAATATCCACTGTGGTACGCTGAATTCAATGGTTGCAGACATCACTCTGAACATGGTCTCATTTCTAAACTTTAACTTTCTTGTAATTTTTTTAGAAAAAGGCATATTAGGGTACCAAATAAACCCTTGAGACGAGAATGCCCATGGGCCGTCCCAACTTTCTGAAATGAGGGCAAAGAATTCCTTCTTTGTCCTTTCTTTTTTCTAATTAAAATATTTTTATTTTCTTTTATTTAATTCCTATATGGTCCAAAAGCATCAGCAAATGAAAATACCACCTCTCTTCTGAGCGCCCTCCCCCCCTCCCTCCACAGTGAACCCCTCTCTCTGTCTGTCCCTCAATTGTGAACCTCTCTCTCTCTCTCTCTTCATCGTAAATGAATCTCTTCATCGTAAAAAAAAAGGAAAAAAAAGATATAGAAAAATAGGGTGGAAGAAAAGAAGAAAGAAGAAAGTTGCTTTAGCAAGAAGGGCCATTCCATCGTTTGGGCCAAGCCTTATGGCCAATTTAGTGATGTCCCTGCAGGTAGCATTCAGGGTGCTCTTGAAATGAGCCATCTCAGCTTCTTTTTCCATTAACTCCTTTGGAAGCTAAATGATTTGCCTATTTTGATTGGCTACGATACATTTGCAAGTTCCCAACCATTTGGCTTGGTTTAACATGATTTGTTCAGCCCTTCTTCGGCATTAAACGGTTTAGTAAACCAAAAGTTGAAGATCATCTCTGGGGGTGTAATCTTGCTCCACTTTTCCGTATA